GTAAAAAGGTATAAAAAATAAAATAACGTAAATTATTCAAAATAACCGTCATTTACGAGGAACCGTGTAGTGCCGAACGCAGAGGCGCACGTGTATAGGCAACACAACGCGCGGCCGGGTACTCCATTAAATCGTCCCAAAAAACTTATTAATATTGTATAATATCTTAATAATTTTATTCGAACATTTTAACTAACGGCAATTTTTTAATTTTTTTTAATCAGGTCATGAAACCAATGTTGGAACGCAAACGCCGTGCCCGCATCAATCGGTGCCTGGATGAGCTCAAAGAACTGATGGTGGTCGCCCTGCAGTCCGAAGGCGAGAACGTCAGCAAACTGGAAAAGGCTGACATACTCGAGCTGACTGTCCGGCATCTGCACAAGCTGCGCCGGCAACAACGGCTTTCCGGCAACCCGGTGACCGAGATGGACCGATTCCGCGCAGGTTACACGCGCTGCGCCTCCGAGGTGTCGCGTTGCCTAGCCGCCACGCCCGGCCTAGATGTCACTTTGGGCGCCAACCTCATGACCCACCTGGGCCACAGGCTCAACTCGATCCAACCGACCGGATCGGCAACAGCCACGGCCACATCACCAGCCACGCCATTGACGCTCAACACCGACACATCGTCGTCCTCGTCATCGGCGTCCTGTTCGTCTTCATCGTCGGCGTCGTCGTCCTGTTCGTCACCGCCACCACCCCAGTCGCCGACCGGCAGCACCACCTCCTCGTATCCGATGCCACTGACGCCCAACTCGATGGTCAGCACTGGATGCAGCGTGGACGGTACTTCCACCGGGCTCCTACAAGTGGTCGACATGTCCCTGAAAAACGACAACGCCTCCGTGTGGAGACCTTGGTAAAACGACTGTCGTGTAACCCATACACACCCACACACACACGCACGCGCGCTTGCTTGCGATATTACCAATTATTTTATTATATAAGTACATATTACGATATTATTATTTGACTCGATTTCAACTTTTTTTTTCTTGTTATTGCCTACACTTTATATTGTATCGTTTTTCTTGTTACGTTATACATTCTCTGGAAAAAAACAACCAAACTCCTGTATAACGGGACGCGGACGCAAACGGGTTTTATCGAACTTTTTACGCTTATATATGAACGAAAAGATTTTTACATACGTATAATATATCATTATAATATCATAATTGTCTATGTACGGTTTTTGATAAATAATTATTATAAAGCATTTTTTTATTCGCACGCGTTCATATATATATATATATTAATTACTATATTTGAATATATTTATAAACATGTTTAATTTTTTTTTAATTTTTTTAAAATATGATCCTGTGATATACCATCGTTTAGATATAGACTATAATATATTATTATATTATGACGACTGTATAAATGAAAAATAAATGGTATAAATATAAATATTGTAAACGGTAGTCATCCTACCTCATCATATCATTATAGATGTATTGTATTGTGTGATATCGAATGATATTATTCATTATTTTGATTTGTGACTAAATGCATTGTACACGCATTCATAATATTATAGCGAACGTGTATATAGTTATTATTTTTTTTTTATATAGACTGTGATATAATGATATAATATGTTTTAGTAAATACTATGATTATTTACCCATAACACCTGTTTGTTTTGATTTACCCATCAATATTCACCATACTCGCATGTAAAATATGATAAATAGTAAATACATATAAAGATTTAAGTAACAAGATGAGTTTTTCGAGGCGATGGTTAAGTATATTATAATAGAAATTGCACTCTGCGATGGTACTATAATATTACATAATATGCAATGGGCGAAAACACCTGCAGTGACTCTGTTTTGTAATTCTAAAAGTATGCAATTAATAAGTGTTCACTGCAATATTTACACATTTTCTGGGTATGAACATGCAAAATTAAGTGTCGTATGAATTCGTCTGCAGTGAATATGACGGATAAAATATTTGGTGAAGTCGGACAGTTCAATTTATTACAACAATGATATTATATTTTCTTCCTCGTCGTCTGCACTGTGTACGAATTAGGAATAATATTCCATTAAAATTTATATATTATGTAGACATAGAAAAATATTGCTCTATGATAGATGATAGTATGGATGTAATTCGATTTGGAATAATTTTAATCCGCTTATACGATTCCGCTACCGTCGTTGTAATAATTTGTTGGATTATAAAACTTATCGTATAGTWCTTACGATCAATAAATATACCTATAAATATTGAATCGAAATTAATTGCAAATAACTACGATATTGAATGATGGCTATAATATTGTTACTGTCGTCGTATGAGCTCGTTATTCAGACTTTGCGTATACCTTTATATTCATTTAAAATAAAACCAAAGAATAATTAAAATATGATGTAATATTATGTGTAGGTATGCACGATAACTAATATATTAATATAGTTAACGGTTTGCTTTGAACAGTTTTAAAAAAATGATGATATTATTATTATTTTCTCGATTCGATTCATTAAATTTATTAACAGAAAAAGACGTGTGATAAACACATTATATCTATGTGTACCTAATTTATCTACCGCCGAGAAGGCATTTCAAAGACGGCGAAATAATAGTGCTTACGATTTTTGTTGTGCGTTCGTATGASGTATATTTGAATAATAATATTATTGTAAACAAAACAAAACATTTAAATACAATAAGACAAATTCTTACTCGTACATACTCGTTAAATTTTTACGCACATTTTATGAAAACAAAWAGTAATATTATTAATTGATTTTTGAAAATATGTATAATAAAACGAAATTAWGCTTTATTTTTAAGACAATTTGTTGCGTACAAATAATACATTCCGCTTTAGTGTATTATGATGGTATAATATAATACTCRCACTTTTAATATTTTTAGGATAGCTGTCTCATGTATATGTGATTGCAAATTTTCTGCAATCCATAGCCATTGCTTTTGCTGGTGCAATCGACGGCTATTTTACGTTCTATGTAATAGAAATTGTATGAAAAACGCAATATATTACATTATATAATTATATTATATTTTTACATCCACGCTGACTGCTGAAAAGTAATCACAGGAAAAATGCTTACAAACATCAAAAAAAATGTTGCAATGTTATAACAATTGTTATAACATTGTCAATTGTTTTATTTTATTATTTTTTCACACAGTTGTACCTAATAATGTTAATAAAAAAWACTGCTGACCGAAAGGGGGGCCGCTCAAATCGACAATATTTTTTAAAGGTACCTAGATACTAGTTCTCTCTAAAAGTGTTAAAATCTTAGGGAATATTTTTATAAATTTTTACTTAATAAGAATGATAAGAAACCAAATTTTTTTTAAATAATTGTATTTTTTACTCCGAAATATTGTTATCATATGAATAGTTTTTAATGACAATTAAACATGAATTTTAAACATGTTTAATATCACTTTTTCATTTTTCTTACAATTTCAATTCATACATTTATTTTGAACGAGGATTTTATTAGTTATATGTTATTCTAACTCAATTTAAGTTTTAATAAGTTGAGTGGAGTTGTGCAACGGACMCAGTAAAATKTTTGTCCATTATACATCAATTCCACTCATCTAAAATTAAAATATACATATATCAATTGCTTTTAAATTACAGTCTAACATATTATGACTAATTCTCGATATTCGATGAAAAATCGATTTTATACATTCAATTTTTTGGGAAAATGTTCTACTTATGAATGTGAAATTTAAAAATGTGTGCTGTCTATCGAAAAATCAAATCAAATTATAAGCCATAGAAAATGATAGAATTTATATTTTTTACTACAATTTTGTTTTTTTTGACTTCAAACTAAGTATGTATGAAAATTAAAAAAAAAACAGATCGCCACAACTTATTTTCAGTAAACACAGATTATTAATGCAATACCTGAATATATATAATAAATGTAGGCATAATTATAAAAAACCGCTTATAATTTTATTGACAATATTTAATTGAAATTGAAATCAAAGAGATCTGACAAAAAGACCGACAAGATTTTCCGATACCGCAATTACAATAATAATATTAATAATATAATCGTTTTATTGTTACACTTCCCGCAAACCGCGTATTTTGTTATACGAGTGTGATATAATGACATATTAATATAGTATTAAGTATTTAATAGATTAGTATGTTATATATACTTAAGCGCGTACAAAGTGTTGTTTTATTATAGACTTAAAAAATGTGTTCCTGTTAGAAAACTGATAGTAATGTTTACTTACATTGTGACATATACCTACTAGAACATAATCGCGAGTATTAATAATTATTATTGTTAAAATCTACGACGGTAGTGCGTGCTCGCAGACACTAAATATGATTATGTACTTCGTAGACATCAAACGAGTGGGTATATATATATATATATATAGGATAGGTATATATTATATATAGGATATGTATATATTAAATATATAGATAAGAACTTATTTAAATATTGAAATACTCGTGTACCTACGTACGTTAAGAGTAGGTAGTTAGGTGTTGAATAAATTTACACTGGCAACACATTTTTATACAATGTGTGGACATTCAAAATTATCCTTAAACCTAAGTAAATTCGATTAATAACACCAGACGAAGACCGTCTACATTATAATATCGTATACCTATTATATATGCATGACATATTATGTAAATGAGTCCAATCTCAATTGCCGTTTGTCGTATGTATATACGCGTATACGTGACGCGCTTAACGTGTTTTATCGACACATATTATTTTATCCGTCTTTACCTATATTATGTATAAAACAAGTTACAACACAMCACGTGCATGTACCTATGTAGGTACTGTTGTCGCGATTCGATTGGCCAAAACGTAAAACTAATACTTTAATAAAACATCGTTAAAACCAATCGACGTATTTTTCGACGAATCAAAAATAACCGATAAACCCAAACTTCAAGAAAATAATAAGTTAGGCAAACTACTTATGAAAATAATATATAGCTGCGGTATTTAGTCGCGCCACACGTCAACCCAATAATCAATATTTATAACCATAATTTCTTAATATACAATATTAATATACATACACAAATACGACTCTAATATGCAATAATACAATTTGAAGTATATGATCATTTTTTTTACACACGAGTAGTATATAATATGTATACTGTATAGGTTAGGTACCTGTTGCAGAACCAACACGTTTTATCAATAATATAGAACCTATATATGATTTTATAACTTAAATAATGCTGATATTTCAAAACGTGACAAACACATTAATATATGTAGGTATAAGGTATTATTATTCAATTTTATCCACTGCATTTTCTTACAAATAATTTTCTTATGTATGAATTAAACTTGGCTATTTCATGTAATAATAAACTTCACGTAAATATACTGTTTCTGGTTTAGGCGATATTTCTCCAATTATATTTAAACATATCCCCTCAAATGCCCTAGTTTCTCTATAGTTATTCTTAAAAATATATTAACAACTTAGCAAATACCTACCTATTGGATTATCTGACTTTATCCCATTTTTAAACTCTACCTATCTAATCTATGGTCTTCCTATTGGTATAACTTAACGGCTGACTCAAGATATAGATATACAACACCCAATGTCATTAAAATAACCTGGTTTAACAACCTAAACTTACAAAGATCACGTATTGATCAATTTAATTGTTTATGTATAGCACATTCCTTATTACCTCTTTCACTCT